CGTATGTGAACGATGTGTTGTGTTGAGTGTGGACCGTCGGCAACGTTCACAGCGATTAAAAAAACTCAGGCAGTTAGACAACCTTGAAAAAGGACAAAATATATTGCGTGTTGGCCTCCCGAAGATAGCTGTGAAAATCTTAAGCTACATTTCTTTAGAGTAGTGTAAATATAGATAATACATGGATACATGGTATCAAGTGAGGAATAAATCTGATATGACAAAACCGATCATCCCACCAAATGAGTAGGCGCAGTAGTTACTGGTGAAAAAATATCCTCAGTTCAGCTACCACGAATGAAATTCGTTGAAATAAACAGAAAATGCATGTATTGATCAGTAAGTATCCAAATCGATCAATAACAGGCCAAAGCGAGAATCGGGAAAACATCTGCACGCGATCGGAGTCGAAAGGTTTCACGCGAAAGTCGTACATGTTTTGTCGGATAAACAAACCCAAACAAAATAGTATTAGTTGTGATTCCTTTTCAGTACGAAATTTAGATAAATGAGATAAGCTATTTCAGTTCTGTGACAAATACTGATGAAAAATTGTTTAATCCTTTTGGTTTTTGCAAGTATTTAAACGTCTTTCTTAACGCTTAATGCTGCTCGGCAGATAAAACTTCCAGCAAAACGTAAACTGGAATCAACGTAAACAGATAAATCTGAGTGCACTAACACAACGCGTTGCATCCACAATCTGTGGACACAATCAATGGGTAAAATTCATATCCTTAGCGCAGAGCGCTCCATTACTTCGCACCAGCTTTAGCGCACAAGATCAGATTCTCAGCAGCCGTATAAACAATCCTGCAATTAAATCAAAACTATTTCTGTCTATACTAACGAAAGTCAGTCAATAAGAAGCTAGAACCGGTTGACTTCTATCTGTTCTGGCTATTCTAATCATGATTGTTACCACCCGATTATCTCTTCCATCCCGCTGCACACTTGTGGTACACTTCATCTACTGTACAGCAATTGGTCAGTAAAAGTTCAGTAATTAACTAACCTTTAAGAGGTGTTTCCTGATCCATATGCCGGGAAGAGATCGATTATATCTGAGCAAAATGAATTCTCTCCGGTATTTTCGTGTCCATTTGCCAACGAGATTGTCATATATCCAAAGCCAAACAAGTACTTTCTCCATTCTAATCAGAGTTGAACATTCATTAGCTGCCGCACAAATAGCACAGCAAGTCAATGAACTGATAAACAAACTTTGAAGAAAACTACAACTCTCCTATTTTTTCATGTTTTCGACCCCCTACTAAACGTTTTGACATAAATTGTCATGTATTAGCCTGTAGAGGAATCGACGTAAACGAGCTTGTTCGTTACTGCGTGCTCTTCCTACGATGTATAATGATGGTTGATTCGGACAAACTACATCGGTTAAATGCCCTTGGTTTTTGCGTTATATTCTCGTTTGTCTATCTGAGATCGACAGTTCCAAACTTGTTGTGGTAACCGGTGAGTGAAAACAAAATCAAGAAAATAGTAGTTCCAAATTTTCAATTCGTTTTTTTTTGTGTATTACGACTCCTTCCTGGAGAAGACCATTTTCGAAACTGTACGCAATTAGTATACGTTTGAGGTTGACCTGGCTAATAAAGATGTCAGATGGTTTTCCCAAACGAATCTTCCTCAGTTTGCTAAGCTCTGAACACCTACCTACGCACAGTGTGTCATGGATGGGTGAATTTACTGAACCATTCGGAGGTCCGATGATCCTCAATAAAAATACTAATTTTAGCTTCGACTACTGACTGCAATGAAAGTAAGCAATTGCAGTTCAATGAAAATAGTATATCCTACGGAATTTTTCGCAGCAGGTTTACGATCACGTTGACACCGATTTAGTCAGTCTTGATTGATCACAAATTATTAAAGGATAGCAATAGAGCGCTCTGCGCTAATGATCCGTATATTTTACCCGGTAGTGAAACAGAGAGTTTGACCAGGGTATTTACTCTGCGAGTGGAAACACGGTGAGATCTCAGACGTGTTGATGTAGGAGTACATTGACCCTCCTTACCTTGCAGTACCCGAATTCAAACGTGCTTTTCATATCCAGCCACCAAGCTGATCGTGGGACTTCATTTCGGATTGTTTACACAACCCCAAATGGACGGCTGCTAAGATTTGAAAAGGTTATAGCAATCAGGCGCCGAAAGCCCCTACTGTCAACAGGTCTAAATTAGTCTTGCGTTGCCCCGGTGACCACATAAGCGGAAGAACGAACCGATATTATGTCAGATTGTCATGACCTGTGATATATATTTTTTTCTGCAGTAAGCACTAGTTGAGAAGCAGCAAAATGATTCCGGAATTAAATCGTGCCTCGTGGCAATGTTAAGATTTGTTCAATGTTGATTTATTTTATTGGATGATTGAAGCCATAAAATTGGAAACTATCTATTGTAAGAGAAATCCACCCTGACCATTCTGTGAGCATCAAGGGTAACGAGTTGTGTTTTGAAATACACGCTTCAACTTGCAAGATTGATCGTTGCCAGTGCATGTCCGAAATACCGTAGTGCGTGCGATAGCACATTCCAGAAACTGTTTGCAGATGCTGCTTGATTAGCGTGAGCACGAAAACCGAATGTAGCAATGACATTTTTTGAGAAAAACTACTGGACGTCGGAGAATTGGATTGCGTATTTGTATCCTTGTGATAAACTCACTGAATCCTTGTTTCTTTGTCAGAAAACATTGACTTAGGGATCTCTTCCGGCCAAAATGTGCAACGGAATGGCACGAGAAATTTTTACTGTGAACACGCAGTGCATAACTCCATTTCCAGTTTCTTCCTTTAATTTTAAAGAAAGCATTATTTACAATCTGTAAATTAATCCAATGTAACTGAAATCGATTTTGAGCTCTTCAATCCCATTGTTGATTCCTAATAATATTATTGCTGGTGATGACAATAAGTCTTCCTACCGACCTAGTTTACTTCACTCGGAGCCACAGGTCACAATCCAGCAACCCAAATATCTGAAATACAGCTTTCCTTTCTCCATTAAGGGTTGATTAAGAAGAATAATGTCATACTGGAATGAATCGCCGCCTAACGAGAATGATCCAAACACAAATTTGAAGTATTCAGTCCCCTAATTTATTTTATCAACACTGAAGGATGATTAAGTCGGCGAGATTTTAATATTCATTTTCATTTCTGATGCAAAAAGAAACAGGTACTTATAAAGTACCTTGATCTGATCAATAATGCGAACGAAAATGTATAAGCTTTGATTAGTAAATATTGAAAGTAAAATGCTAACTCCACGATGAAGTGAATAAAGACCACAGATTATCAGTACATCCCAACTACTTCCACAGCCCTCCAGCGAGTGCAACTCATCTGATGTCAACTGACAGGTACCTGCTGAACGCAGAGATTCCTAACTGTCAACCTCAATCAGAAATGTAGTGACCATCACCCGAAGCCAACATGCCTAGACCAGGTCAATGAGGTTTTCTTCTCAGTTGTTCCCCGAAGAGCTGACTGGTGCATTTGATAGCAGTGTGATTGTTGAGTGCCCAATCCATCCGGGACATCCTTTTAAGAATATCACATCATTACTTGGTACTGTGTTGACTAGTCTTTTCCCACACGCCTGAAGATTATGAGCAATGTTCTGCAGAAAGCAATGATTATTCAGTGAAACGTATCAAGTGTCTTCATCGGGGTGGGTTAGGTCGTGATGCCGCAACACCAAACAAAACGTTGTCTGACATCGTAACAACGATCTTTTGGACCAGGAGTGGAACACAAACAGATTCATCCGGCTTTCTGATACGCATGTTACCATCTCGTTTTAGACACTTTCAACAGATAATAGTTTAATATTCAGCTATATTGATCACAATGAACTGCGAAAGGCTTTGAACAAGCACCTCAACGAAAATTTATGCCGTACTGTATCCCTTGTTTCCTTACACACTGGAATATCTTAGTCGAAACAAAGCCCCACTGGGATTAGGCATTCGTCGCACGGCTTGATGCGGTCACTTTGTGGAGACAACAAGTATCACAACCACCGGAAGATATCGAATCAATTGTGTACTTCGACTGCACTCCGATTCTGAATGAAAGCGGATAAGAAAGATTTTCAGATTGAGAAGACTCGTATCGAAGGTTATCTTACAAAAACAATCGCAAATCTCGTCCCGTTTCACTTCCATTAAAACCGCAAACTTGAATGAGTGCGAGACAATGCTATCGCTTCGAATAGCTCTGCTCACTTACCGATCAGCAAAACAATCGGGCCACCACGTAGAATGTTCAACAAACACCAAATTAAAGGATGAGATGGGATAAACCTCGAATATTTCTCACGGAAATGCATTTCCCAGTGTGATTTTTATCATCCCGAAAAGACCAGGTAGAAAACTCAGACAGGCAATCTTAAACGAGATTAACTAAAACTGCCCCCCCCCCGTTTATCTTTCATCACATTCAGTCAACCCAGTCGGATGCCTGAGCAGGGAATGGATGACAATGAGGCTAGGTGCACGGAAAGCACAGCACGGTAGTCATTGTAATTGACCAGCAACGCACAAGATCTATACACCGCTTGGTGTTCAGTAATCAAGAGGATGACCGGGACGATCAGCGTGAATATTTCTCGCGGCTTTCGAACTGACACTATCGGTGACAAGAAATTTCATGAACAAAGTGGATTGCAGTTCTATGTACATAAAAATCTGAGAAGGCACTCACTTCACAATTGAGCGCCTGCGCATGAAAACGGGCAACTATGTACAGAGACAGCGGTCAATCAGGGGGAAGGAGGGTCAACCATGCAAGTTGCAGATGAGAAAGAACTTAGGGATGTTGTTTACACTCAGGAGACAAGCCGAACGTGAGTACTGCGAGTCGAAGTGGGCACAGATGAAGGAACAGGTTTCGGAAAAATCCAAACCGGATGGAGCTGCAAGTCAGTCGAAGAAACTGTGTGGGGGTGTGCGTAAACCGCAATGAGCAATCAGATGAGACCTCTTTGCTTTTTATATGCCTCAAGATTTAGAACCCTGCGATTCACAACCGGTGTTGGCCCATTTTCTGCTGTCGAATGAGATACGTTACCCAGAGAATCACGTCCTCGAATAGAGTCAGATAAGTGGTGTGTGGATCGTCCAGAAGGATCAAGATCACCGTGTCGTCGAGCTGGTGTACCTCCGAGGAGAGGCTGATCACCTGATCCATCGAGATCTAGATTGATGTTAATTTCGAAGTTATGAATGGCGTGTAACGTGTCGTGAGGAGTGGATGTGTTACTGTCTTCGTCTGCGATAGACCAAGAAACCCGTTCCGGAGTATTGAGAAAATCACCACGGCCCTTACCAGCTGAGGTACTGGATAAACAGGGGAGGGAACTGCTGGAGGCTGAACCAGAAAGTTTCGCATTATCAGCCGTGGACGACTCGAGATTGGATTGCGCGTCTGCGTTGGCTTGGTTGTTCTTAAAAGGGAAAACGAAGTTGGCATGATCGAACTTTTCAAAAACAACATAAACGGTACAATTATTAACGCACAGTGCATGTTTCTGCAAGGTAGTTAAAATCCATTCTGCATCTGCACCAATATCTGCCAAGTACGGAAAACACGAACATACAAGTAGGGTAATGGAACCTTAGCATTCAACTTTACTGACTGAATCCATTGTGGTAAACGCTAACAAAACAAGAAGTCATTGTATTACGCAGGAAGTGATAGTGAATCAAATTACCGTGTAAATATACTATTCGAAACTACTAGTCTTAATGGCTGCAAAAAACTGACACTAAAATAAATAGCAATAAGGAACTTCGAACAAAACCTCATCTAATATGAGCAGAGGAGGACTAAACGATTATTTATCAACTAAAATCCTGATGATCGCATTGTTTGACCCGAAAATGAAACAACTGCAGATTAAACAATGCTTACAGAACAAGGTGCTTTCATGTGTCCATCATGCTGCCATCAGAAAGCTCAGGTGGTCTAGATGAAAATTAAGGTCTGTATATGTATAGATTTCTAGACCGTAGGGGAGGGATGGACAACAATGAAAAACGTTGGTAAATCAGAAGTTTTTCATCAACATTCATGACTACTATGTAACTAAAACAAGTAGTAATGGCGAAAGCCTTCCGACCTCCTGGGAGTGTGTTCTTCAAATCGATAAAACTTAATCGTAACGAGCAAAAAAGCCTTCTATGCATCACTACAACTACGTTACGCTATCATCGAAAACTTTCATAAAAAGGTTTTGTATTTGAGAAATAAAACCAAACGTACACGCTTGTGCCTTAGTCTCTCCAAGTACTTTTTGGTAACAATCACCGGTTGTGAGTGTACCCTAGTGAACGGATCCTCCTCCTTGGAATTCCGAGCCTCTTCACTTTCTTTACGGATGGCTTCTTCCGCCTGAAGCACGCTGAGCACGCGATTGCGTTGATTGATGGAGGTAATGGACTTGAAACCCAGGGTCCGTCGTCGATCAATTTTGTCTGCTTGCGCCTCAATATCTTCCAATTCCAAGTCTAGCCTCCTTAATGCCTCGGTGTCACCCTCGGCCTCGGCGATTTCCCGCTGCTTAATCAACTCAGCCTTCCTCAGGGCGAAGTTTGTAGGGGCTTTCTGGAAACGTTTCTTCGATTGAATAATCTGGAAAATAAACAAAAAGGCATTTGAAAGATTAGGAGTCGAGACGGAACAGCACAAATCATAACTGTACATCTGATCATTTACTCAATGGCGATCATTGCACCATTGCAACCTTCGTTGTTTTTAATTCTTTGCTAGTCTGGAATTTCAAACAAAAGCTGATCCATTGTGCAAGGCATGTGTGGCCAACGAGCAGAATACCAAACTGTGTTATTATTTCCATACAGGATATATCGTATATCTTTACCTTATTATGAATAACCTGTAAGATCCGACTTCTGAATCAGTTTTGATCAAGGTTTAACAAGAAAAACCCCTCCGTCGGTGTTGTTACCAAAGTAGTTTTGTCCGAGTTGGTCAGATGTATATATTGAAAGATAATCGCGGAAAAGTGGTCAGTAGATGCTATGCTTCATCGGATTTATAAACAAGCCATATGGGAGGTAGTTTTCCGCGGAATGTCGTATTTGCACGGTTCTTTTCGATCTTACATAGGAGCCACGAATCATCGCTATGGCAGTTTACGATGCTTTTGCAAATGAAGTACAAAGACGAATCTCAATCCAGATACAGATCACTTGATGAACTTACTTGTTCAACAGTTCGTTCATCCTTTATAGGTCTGATGATGGCATCCTGAATTTTAGCAGTTTTTTCTCGTACAAAAGCCATTGTTGGTGGCTTCATGCCAGCTTCGGTGATACGTCTCATCCAGCTGTCGAACTCTGACGGAAGAAACTCCGAGTTGGAT